AAAAGTAATTATTAGCATTTGAGAAATATGTACCTCACCACTGCTTTAAACAAAACAAAACAAAACCAAGCAACTAAAAAAGGGTGAAACAAATTTTAAAAAGGGGCAAAAAATAGTTCAAGGCCTAGCAAGAAAATGCTTTTTTTTTTTTTTTTTAACTGAAATAAATTTTATTTCAACCAAGACAAATACTCCACCAATTTAAACCCTTGCAGTATTTAGCACTTCTATCATTTTTCCTCTCTAAATCCTGTACTATTAGTCATCAACATTGTGCTGATGGCACAATTAAAAAGTAAATAGCTTTTGTTAATTGTTCAACCTGAGGTAGATGACAAAGCAAAACAGAAAGGTGAACTTGCATTTTAATTATTTGCAATGTCAAAGTTTAGATAGATTTTGTTCTATAAAAATGGACAGTGTCAAAGGAAGGCTCAGTGTTCAATTAATAGTAACATCTGTCAATATGTTGGCTATGTCTGACCAGGGAAAATTTTAAAAATTGCTCTATAATTTCAATTGGTCTAAGCATTAGTGAATTGTCCTTAGCAACATGTTTAGTTTTCAAAAACCCATTCTTAAAAGGGATCATGACCAGTTTCAAAATCATGTTTTTAAAAGTTTTGTTTCCTTACTTTTGTTAACAGCCACCATCAAGTCTATTAAAAATAAATTGTAGTTTAAATTTGCCTTCTCTGTTATACTCTGTCACTCCATTTCAACAATGAAGTTGTTCCATGTTCTGATTTTCATGTGCTAACAATATTGCTATTTATATTTCCATCCAATTAAAATAAAATGTGTATAAACATATCTATTTTAAAAGTATTTTTAATCCAACAATAGATTCCAAGGTTAGAGTATCTGAGAACACAATTCAAAACCATGGCAATATCCTAACAATTCCCAAAAATCCACCTGACAGTTGTCTCAATTTCAGCAAAAGTCCACTTCATTTTTGCGAAGGTAATGATTTAGTTGGAATAAATATCTGGTTAAAAACCAGGATAATTTGGTCTGAAGTGCTTGCTTTCAGGATATGGATTCCTTACTGTAAGACAGACACTGCTTGTTAGACTCAGTTTTGGAAACTGTATATTGGAGCACTGCTTTGTAATCAACTTCGTCTTCCACAAGGAATACAAAGCCTAAGGCTTGTATTATACACTTACAAACCAAAAAGATGCCATTTCACATAATGGTATTCTCTCTAGGACAAGGACTCTGAAGCTCTACTTTTTCAGCAGTTTTTTCTCCTAGTTGCCAAACATTTAGTTCTTATGCCATTATCTTCAGTCCCAGACCGAGTTTCCCAGGTGTACTGCATAAGTTTCAACACTATGTCTACCTAACAAAAGAGTATCCAGGAAGCAACAGCCACCTTTACATCCCAGAGGCTCACTTCCTACCGGATCTTTATTCACTTGAAACTACAGAGGGAACCAATCTACCTTTTCTCTTCCCCATCACTGCACTGTTTAAAAAGAGAAGAATACAGTATACAGCACTCTAAATGACCCTAGTGCAAAATGAAAGCAGCCAACATTGCTAACCCATCTACTTATGAATCCATAACTTAAAGATCACTCTGGAAGAGAAAAAGCAGAGAATGCGGCTAATGAAAACATCTTTGGTTATGTCTGCATAAGCCCTCCTTATGGTATTTTGGTGTAAATGATCTACAATATGCATTTTTATCTCTGATGTACAGTATATGTAAGTGATGTTTATATTTTTTAGATACTGTGTATATTAAAAGGCAGGAGGTTGGGTTGTTTCCACAAGAAATGGTGGCAAGTCATCAATTAGTATAGAAAATGAGCATTAGCACATAAAGTCAAGAAATCCCAGTCTCTGGTTAGCTGTGCATTATCTCACCATCATCCATTAGATTATCTATTTATGATGTTGTCAAACTGTATAAACAATAAAAAGGTCTTGCTTATATATTATCATTTCTCAAAAAGCTGAAGATTAGAAAATTTTCCATGAAATGGCTTAAATGAGGTTAGCCTTGAACAGTGGGTATAACTATTAATCTACAGACTGAAATGAACTCTAGATTCCATTACAAATACCTAATATTTAAAGTAGATGCATAAGCAATACTGTACCCAACATATTATTAATAATGGTATCACTAAGTTAAAGTTGCTATTAAAACAATTATAGAATAGATGCTATATTCACCGTAACAGGAGCATTAAACATACAGCCTGCAAAACAGATCTGACCTGTGGAGCTGCTGTATCCAGCTCACCAGGACAAGTAGGCAACCAAAGGTTGCTGGGGTTTTGACCTGCCACACAACCTGGGGCCCTTAGGCCCAGGTGGACATGGCAATCAGAAGTCAGGGGGCAAGCAAAAGCTGATACAGCCCTGGTCATCCTCTGGCTGCTTCACTGACACCACTACAGTGGCTCTAGCTCTTTGACCACTGATGCACACCCATTTTCCCCCCACCATGCCCTTGTGGGAGTTGTCGCCACCATTTGCCCTATGCTGAAGCCAGAGCTGCCAGGGCATAACAAGACACATGGGAGCCTTGAATTCAGGAACGAATTTCTGAATCAGCGCTAAAAGCACTATGCTTGCTCAGCTTTCAGACTACAAATGGATTTGAGCATACAAGACACTTTTCAGGATTTGACTGTGTATGCTACTCATTTCTGTAAGGTCTAAATGAACAGAGCACAACACTTTTAATACCCATGCAATTGCTGCAGAATAACTCATTAGTGTTAAGCCTATAAAAGTGTGAAATTCAAACCAAATAGAGTATTTTTCCCCATTTAAGATTTACTCAGCAAGATACACTTAGTATGCATCAGAACACATAATTAGTTTAAATTCCAGGCAAAGACCATGGCAATGATACGAGTTCTTAAATGCAGTTTAAAAGTAGGCTGCACGTAGAGCTTTTGAATTCTTCCTTACGTAATTTGATTTAAAATGTTCCTCTCCACGTACTGTACTTACAAAAAACAGACATAGTTAAGTGCAAAGAACATTTAAAAAAATACAAGAAGTTACTAACAACATGAAACTCATGCCTATAAATTCCTTTATGCCAGAAAACAAATGGAACAATAGGTTTTGCTAAAAAAGCTTGCTTTAAAGACTTACCCAAGACAAAGCACAAAAAAGGTTAGAAAAACAGGCTACTAGGCAAATACTAAAAAAAAAAAAAAGATAAGCATAATATAACCTCACCAGAGGAGAAGTAGCAATTTTTTTTTGGAATCCTTTATTAGTATGGGATCATCTTTTAAGGTTCTCGCCTAATGATCTTTGACCAATAATCCAAGGCCATTTTAACAGATCATTATAGATTATATGTTCCAACATACATTCAATATGGACAAAGAAAAGTCACTGCATACCTGGCCTGCTTCAATTTCATACCTAGGAGTACTGTCTATTTGAAGTTACAATAAAGCATGTTTGCAATACGCAAAAGGAATACAGGTTGAAAAAACTAATTAAAAGACATATTTCTACTGACATCCATAATCAAACAGACCAGAAGGACCACGCATCATAGGATCAGTGGAAATACACCTTTCTGTGCTCTGTGAAGTGTGTTTCAGTTTCTTACCTCTCATTAGTTTGGTCTGTCAATTATGTTACCAAGCATGTAACATTTTGGAAATATAGCTGAAACTCTTTTTGTTGTTTAAGCTAAGAGAGATTCCCTAAAGTTAACATGGTTCAAAACCAAACAGGTGTATTCCTATTTTAACAACTGCATATGCTTAGTAGTGCCAGTGTAATGCAAGTGTTTGGTGGCATCAAAACTATCCATATTAACTTAAAATGAAGAGAATAGGGATATGTTGTGGTAAAGCATGTCAGTCAAATAGTCTGTCACAGCCTATGATGTTATATAATGTGGATAAGAGGTAGCTGGGCAGCTATAATTTCAGGAAGTAGATTATGAAAGTGTATCAGATTTGTTTCAAGACCAAATACAGCCTTCATGAAGTATAAAATATTACCTAAAGCTTTCTATTAAAAATAAAACCTCATTTATTGCTCAAGATTCTTACTTTACATTACAAATACAGAAGATATCCAAGTTTTCTGGCCTCTGATGGGCTTCTTTTTTCCCTATATTCATTGTTCCAAGGGGACTACTGATGAAGTTTTGAATGACAAACCACTGACCCATTCTCAAGATTACAATTTTTCCATTGAAATGGACAACATTTGCATTTGCTACACAAGTCATTAAAGTGTCTTATTGCCAGTTGGATGGCAAGAGCAGCTCTTTTCTGAGAAATCAGTTAACAGAATTAAAACTATGGCTGTCACTACTCAACACAGCAGGAAAGGAAGAAGAAAAATCAGAATGACAGTCCCTGGGGTGGCCAAATTCATTCTAGTCAGTGAGACTGTGCACCAGCACTTGAGGCATGAAATGCAGACAGATGAGTATAGCAGGTTCACACAGCTCAAAGCAGTGGTATAAGTTCCTTTCAAAAAGGCCATGAGGCCCGAGTCTCATTTATGTGAGGAAGAAAGAGAATGAGGCAGAAGAAAAAAGAAAATGTGTCTAAAGAAAAGTCATAAAGAAACTGCAAAGAAAACAACAGGTCAGGGACGAGCTACGGTAACAACAGAATACACTAGTAGTTACAAGGAGAGAAGGTAGAAGAAAGGCTCAGAAACAGGACAAAATTAAGCAACCCAGTTTAGACAGTGCCTAAACGTCATATAAACTAAGTGGTCTACTTAATGTCATTTCTAGAATGACTTCCAGGAGAAAAATAAAGTTTTTCAAACCGTGAAATGTATCCAAACAACTAATACTGCAGATCCTAGAATCTGATCTTCTGTAAAAGCTTACTACCTCCATTTATCAAGCTAAATAAGCATACAAAAACACTAGTAAGAATAAAAGATGCCTGTAGACCAGCAACTACATAGGATTTAACTTTCTGCTACCTGTATAATTTATTGTGCACATATTACATCACTATTATAGAAATGGCACAGTCTCAGAGGACACTTTCCACATTTTATTTACATTTTAAGACTAACTTTAATCTCAAATCACATATCCATACATTTCCTTTGTTTCACTAAAACTTAAATGCATGGTTTATTAGAACAAAGACTGTAAACAAATATTTGCCATGTCCGTTACATGTAACACACAGGAGCTGCTTAACAGAAATACATCCCCCCTTTTATAAATACAGGTATCAAAACAATCCTGAACATACTTCGTGACATTACTAGTAGTCGGCACCCACACCTTTGCAAAAATTAAACAAGATGAGCAATGGTATTCACTGTACCTGCTACTTCAAAACAATTTTAACTGCAGCTCTTTTACTAAGCAAGATGGATAAAGCATGCCATTTATATTGTTCTTTCTTGAGAAATTAATTTTCAGTAACATACATTATGCCACAGCAACCTGACACTTCCTGTCATGCTTTCATCTTGTAAAACTTGAATTCCAATTTTAGGCTATTTCAGGCTTATGCTTAAATGACAGTGCCTTGATAAGAGAAAAAATTAATTGTGCTGCCTTCTTTTTCTCCCATAGTGCCTGAAAACATATTGGGCATACATATATTATATATATATTCTTACAAATGTCCAGGTCATGTATACCAGCTGAAATTCTTTTAATGTGTGGGTGGTTTGCATTGTGAGATTTAATCAAGACATTAACATGAGTAGAAGGTTGTTGTTTTAAGACAGAAGTTTGAGAATCAGCTAAAATTAATTGCTGTAAGTTTGTCCTTCTGGAGGTTGTGGAAGCTTCATATTTTCTTTGGACATCATTAGACGTCTTAGCTCTTGAAGTACAACTTTAATGCTATAAGAATTTTGCCATTTTGCTAACACTGGTATGCTCCGTGCATCCACCTAAAGAAAAAAAAAAGAGCGCAAGTTATAAAGGGACAATAGGTGTTTAGACCATGAAATACAACCCCCCCATAGAGTTAACTTCAGTTTACTTAAATACTGCAATCAGAAATGCTAAGATAGGTTTACCTTTCTTTGCTACTTCTCAACAATGTTACAAATTCATACAATATTTATTAACAAAGTGAGTGTTACATACTTACACACAGTTAGGTGTGTTGCAGATCCTGCAATGAAATCAACACAGATGGATCCCTACCTTCCTTCCATTGAATGGGGAAGGGAAGTCAACCTACACTGCAAAACTGGGGCTGTATCTTGGAGTACTGTATCTGTCCACCTCAGCAATAAAATTCCTTACACTGTTTTAAAAAGTCATGCAATCTAAATAGAAAAAAAAGTCATTTGAAAGTATTAACTGATTACTACACTTATTTTTCCTCAAAGTTGGCTTTCTTTATAAAGGAATCTGCCAAATGTTATAGTGGTCTACGTCTCAAAAAAAGAAACTTTCCTTATTCTAAATAATTTTTGTGAGTGAACCATTTTGAATATCTGATACATGGTTATTCTGATGCTGTAAGAATGACATTTGCCCCAATAACCAGACAGAAATACCAAGATAATATAAATGTATACCTCCAACTATAAGATCAGAACATTTCTCAGTTCAGGTTTTATGTGGTTTTTGTTTCTTATGATAAATGTTCTTACAGACTCTTATTAAAGACTACTATATATCAGTTGATAAATGTGCCCTTTTCTGTTCTTTTACGATACATAAGAGCATAAAATTGTTTTGAATTGGGTTTTTTTCCCAGGGGAGTGAGGGGAATTATTATAAAAAGGTAAAGAATCTCTTTTCTGAAATAAAAAAAGAAAAGGATCTGCCTAGCAATTTTATTTCAAGAGGAGACAGATTGCTTATATTAAGGCTACCTGATTTCTGAAACCAGAGAATTTGACTAAATATATTTTCTGAAGGTAACTAAGGAATTAAGATCACTAATTATTACCTTCATTGTTAAGAAACTAGTAATGAAAATGTGTGAAAAGGAAAATGGAAGTTGGTTATTTATGCAGTGATCCTTTCACCAACTGAAAAACATGCTAGCTTTAAAAAAAAGTGTAAGATTGTATTAAGCAAGGTTTGACAGGGGCACTGCTAGACAACCTTTATTATTACTAGATTGTTTTATTGTGCAAAAGAAAGAGGTACTATACAAGAAGAGGGGGGAAAAGCAGCTACATTATTGCAAACAGTTTCTTTCTTTGTCACTGCAGGCTTCCAAATGAGAGCATTAAATTAACAAACAGGTGAGAAAGAAAAAAACAAAAGTAAACCATCTCATCTCCATAGCCATTTCCTCTGCTATCAGGGAGGAGTTCAGCTAAGGAAAAGCTCCAGGTTTGGTGCCTTCCCAAATCCCACAGTTCTTCTGTAGACCCTTCCCCACCCTTATAGGCTAAATTGAGATGCAACATGAGCAAACAAGGGGTGCTGCACTGTTCTCCAAATCTGCAAGAACTGAATAAACATCACAGAGGTTTTGTGAGAATTAGATCAGTGGTTCTCTTCCTTTTTGATCCTACTGCCCACTGCTCTGGTGTTCCCTGTTACACAGAGGGGCAGCAGTCACAGAATTCAAATTGTGTAACCCAGTAAACCCAAGCTCACCATATTTTAGGGAAGGTCAAGTGGGAAAGGGACAAGGGACAGATTCTAATGAAACACAGTAAATTGTGAATTTACTGGAGAAACAACTGAGAAAGAAAAAAACTAAAATTACCTAAAACAGATTAATAGGAAGACTGCTGGAAGACCTTTGCAGCAGAGGATTCCCAATCAAAAGATGAAGAAAGTAGGGAGGGGAAAGAAGGAAGGGGTAAGAAGAAAGTCTAGTAGGCAAACATGATGCAGAGCTAAATTGGGGGGAGGGGCAGGGTGGAGGCAACAGAGGCTAGACAGGCAACTGCGGATTTAGATAAAAAGAAAGAAGAAAATTATGGAGCTAACTAAAAGACTTCCCCTTTTACTTCCAGACTGCTGACTGCCCACTAGCACCATTTGCCCCATACTTCATCCGTTTCTCTTCTTTAGACCTTACCTAAATTGGGGACTGACTTCCAGTACAGCCATCTGTGCTTAAATACTACCACTACTGTACCACTGTCGTCAGGTAAAGTCACTAATTGCACGGATAGAGATGATCGGTTTCAAGGCAAGGGAAAGCTCCAAACGTGCAAATAGTGACTTTCTTGTCGTCACCAAGGCAAGTCAGAGATTGTAAGCTCTTTATACTACTATAATACAATAAATACTTTTATTTCAAGCCACTTCATTTAGTGTACATCATCAGCTTTCATTTCATAGCAGATCTTGCAGGCAGTAAAAGTTTAGCTAGCCTTTTGCCTCTATTGCTCGCCTATTTTAGACATACAGCATTACACATAGTGAATTTGCTTTATAAAAAGCTCAATATTCAGTAACCTGAAATGAGAAGGATAATTCATGGGTTTCTACTGCACTCAGAAGAGTCAAATATATCTAATTCCTGCTTCCTGTAATCCCCTACCCCAAATATGCATCCATGGAGTAAAAGGAAGAGGAAATTCAGGGTAAGCTAAAAGCTGGAAAGCTGGAAATTGAGGACTAAGCTTTTTTTATTTTAACAACATAGACAACATAAATCTTTAAATAATGGCAAAAGTGGCAACAATATACATAATCCAAAAATAACCAAAGAATTCTTCTATTTTATTTAAACATAACAAAATAAATAATTTTAGAAGAATGCTGCAAAATGTTCAGTGTTTATAATGTTTCCAATAGCTTAACTTTAAAAAAGCAGCAAACTGCTTAGTCTATTATAAACACATTCAAAATGATGGCTGGACAACATAGTTTATAGAATTATAGTTGACAGAATCCCAAGCTAATTTAAAAGAAGAAACAAGCACTTCCAGCTGTAAATGGATTTTAAACAAACAGAAGTGATTACAAATCCAGGGAGACACCAACAGGCTGTTAAAGAATATTAAAAAAGAAGAAAAAAAAAGATGTCCTTGAAGACCATGAGAAAATAAATAGTGCATCATAGCACAACCTGTGTTTTATCAATCTATGATACACAGGCTAAGAAGCTAAATCCCATAGCATTAAGAAATGTAATTTAATTTTATAGCAATGATACCTTCTCTGGGGAATAACTAATTTTGCCAGGTTCTACTCGTGTACTTGGGTCAACTTTTCAAAACTAGCTTCCCAAATTCAGTGCACAAATCCAGCAGCTGTGTATACAAACTGATCACTTGGAAATTAAGTGATCATATGCATGACCAATAAAGGCTGCCAGCATTTGAAAGAGATGTCATATTCTGAACTTGAAAATGAAATGAGTCTTCTGCTGACCCTATTTCCCTTTGCCCCTAATTTAAAAAGTGAGGGTAAAGGTAGGAAGGCAGATAATCCTGATCTTTATAAAATTAATGTGCATTTATCAATGTGAAGGCCTCCAAAGAGAGTTGCCTCTACTTTTTCCCATTCACTTCTACCCATAATTCCAGAATTTGCTAAATTACTACTGCTCCCTTTGGATCCATGCATTGAACCCTGTATTAAATTCCTCCTTAAAATCCTTCTTTGCTAGGAAATCTCAGAGCTAGACTCCACTAAGAATGCCATCAGCCATACAACACTAAGAGGGACACAGAATAGGAACACTAAAGGTTGCCTGAAGCCAAATCAGTTCCACTCTCAAGAGAATTTGACAACCTTGAAGGGGTTGCAAACAGGAAACCATTGGCTTATAAAGCCAAACATCAAAAGCATGCCCAAGGCAGAAATGCAGGAGTGGCACCAAGAAATGTACTGGACAACTGTAGAGTACCTTAAGCAGAAGGCAATATGAACTCAAAAGCAGGCAAGAAGGATGCTCTTGTGGTTAAGACATTGGACAACACCTCCTGAGATCTAGGTTAAATTCTCCATTCTGCCACAGCCTTTGTGGGATCTTGAAAAAGTAACAACTTTTCAGTGCTTCAATTCTCCATCCGTAAAATGGACATTTTGTTTATCTTGCTTGTAAACACTTAATAAAAGTACAGACGCTACATAAATGGGGTTCTGATTTTGAACCTCTGGGAGCTATTATAATACAAATAGTAGTAAACCACTGTGCACAGACTATAAATAACAGTGAAAGTATGTCTTCCCCCAAACACTAGTTAGAAATACTACTATATTAAGCAGTGTATTTGAAATTAAAGCATTATAGATTGTTCAGGTCATTAAATTTTGGATTACTTTGTTAAAATGTGACTAGGCTTTAAAAACAGCAATTATTAAAACTCTCCTTTTATACAAAAGGAAAGAGAATTTTAAGGAAAATCCTTCAAAACAATGAATGTAGCTAGCAATTGGAATCTCTGGAAAAAAATGAAGAAATAATCGTGTTTAATTCACCTGGGTAATTCAAGTGTTTGTATAATATTATTTTACATTAATACTGTGTTTCTGCCAGGGGGATTCTCTCTTACAAGACTAACATTATTAGGCTTCATTAAACGTTTAACTTAAAGTACAGTTTCCCTCGCTTTATGCGGGTTCTGTATGTGCGAATTCGCTCTTATGCAATGACCTTTTTATACCAAAAATTTGATAGATGCAAGGTAAATTCACTCTTATGCGATCAGTGTGGTGGAAGCCCACACTCAGCTGCTTTGTGCAGTGCATTGTGGGAGTGATGTGCACCAAAATATAGTCTCCCATGTGGATCTGTGCTCCTTGACTGTTGTCTGCAACATGTGTTTCTGTAGTTGCCATCCCCATTATGGTAACAAACACTATCACCCTGTGCTAGTGTGCACTGTCTGCTGTTGGTGAGCACCAAAATGGTCTTGTAAAAGTGGTAGCAATGGGTCTGGAGGTCAGTACAGTTGAGGTCTTGGAACATATCCCTATTTGTTACATTGTAAAGTGGGTTTCCTTTATGCGAATTTGAGTTATACACCCTTCTCCAGGAATGCATGTACAGCATAAAGTGAGGGAAACCTGTATTAATAAGACATACATATACTTCTAGCGTCTACAGCTCCTCATCTTTTGAGAACAGGAGGATTGTACCAATATTCTCTAATCCAATGGTTCTCAGTTAGTAAGCCATGGGTGGGTGTGGGTGGACACAAAGGAGGAATGGGGGTATGGACAGATCAGCTGACACAAAACAACATTCCAGAAGCAGACACCTCCTGAATAGAAAGCAACAGAGCTACCTTATGATGTTCCTGTTCTGAAGCTAGCATATGCGTGACTAATTTGGTTGTTTCTGCAAGAAGACCTCAAGAGACCATAGGCCATAGGATCAAGACAGTTGAGAACCACTGATCTAATCCTCCCATCTCTTTGATGCTATTCCAGCTTTACAGATCTGGAAACAAGGGAGAGGGGTTAAGCAACTAACTGAATGTCAAAAAAGGGAGTCAGGGACAGAATCATGCACAGAGCTCAGATCTCTGTCAAACTGACCGCCATGTGCTCTAACTTCTGCACTATGCTATGCTCTCAGTTTAAGAGGCCAACTTGGAGCACTAGAGGTTGGTACAGTGCTGTGCCACAAACTAGCTGTAAGAGAACAGCATGACATGCACATTAATTAAGCATATTACACAGAACAGTGGTTTGCAAACTGCAGTAAGCAACATTTTGCCAAGGGTACATGCCTGTTAGCAGACTGCCCCTAAGGTTTGCAAGATCTGCAGGTCCAGGACAGCTTGCCAAGCAGCCTGCCTCTATGGCAGGAACCAAGCAATTCCACCATACAGACTGCCCCTGAAATCAGAGATCTCAAGGCTGATCTTAAGACTTCCTCCCTTTTTAGGAAGAATTTGATAAGTATGGGTGTTCATTGTGAACAACAACAAAGCTACATTTTGAGATGCCAAAATCTTCTCCAAAAAGGAATCTGCTTTCTCCACCCAGGTCTATTTTTAGATGAGGAGATCTAACATCGACAGTTGTTTAAGATGATCTGAAACTCATAGGCACATTCTCATATAAAACAAAGAAAAAAATTCTTCTCCACCACTAAGCTAGGGAGCTAATTACTTGTTTTTAACTCTTGGGAAGAATCTAAAACAAAACTATAAATATATAGTAAAGCTCTCATGCACATCCAACATAGCTGATTCTCACACAAAAATTTAGCACTCATACTTATGTTCCAGAACAGAGCTTAGGTAAAGGTCAATGCCTGATTAGCAAACACAGACTTTTATTGAACACAGAGGAACCGAAGTAAAGATTTTCACTATGTAAAAGATTACGATCAAAATAACTGTCAAAATTACTTTAGAGACTTTCTGAAATACTGCAGAAAAGAACACTAGGGTTTATTTAGTCTCATCAACAAACATAGTATGCTGCTGCCAAAGAGTGCAGGAGGAGAACCTACTACTCCTTTTCCAGTGGAATAAAGGTACAATATCTTTCAGCTCTTTTCAACTGTTTATTACAGGAGCATTACATAAAATAGTCCCAAAAGAGATACTATGTTATATCCTAAATATTCACAATTTACATTGTGAAATCAGTATACAGAAAGAAGAATAAAGAGCTGTTCTTTGAGTTGTGGAAAGGGTTAGTGAAAATATACAATCACCACTTAAACTATTAAAAATGAGTTACTGGATTGGAAAAAGTGAGAATAAGGAAAGGCAAGCCTGCTAATTATCACAGACGTTTGGTTAGCTAAAAGCAGTAGCCAAAACTGTGGAGACACTGAAATGATCCTTAGAAGGTAAAATAAGGCAGTTGTTGTCAAGAGGCCCGAGCAGTACAGTATTTCATATTCCTGGGTAAACTCAAAGCACTGCATAGAACGACTGTAGGGAAAGCACACCCAGGCTGCATAACACAAAGTCATTTTGTATAAAAGTAGCAACTGTTTCTTACTCTTATTTTTTTTTAATGTGTTCCAATATTGTCATTAACATTAGACTTCACTGACAAGCTACTTCGGAACAAAACTCCAGATCTAAAATGTATATAGCATGCAAGCATTAAAATGTGCTGAAATATAATCTTTATAATGAATGATTTAAATACAAAGGCACGTTCCCACACACCTATATCCTCATTAGATTTTCTACTAAAAATAAAACTGCACAGTAAGAAGGTGCGGTTGGTCTTACCATTTCAACTTACCATTCCATTGGAATTATTTATTCCATTCATATTAATTTTAGTTACAAATCTAACTGTTGGAGGTGCTTCGGGATATTTAGGTCCACACTCTACTTTCAGACTGTATATTCTGTTTTCATAGTTTGTCTAGAAAGCAAAAAGACAGACTAATGCACATTACTGAAACTTTAAGTACTTGAAAAAATAAACTAGCACAGGCAGAAAGGCTCGAGAAGAATATGCAATACGATCATTTTAACTCAGTATTGTTTGTTGATGCCTCTGAAGTACTGTATGATGCATCACAGCTCAAGTGACCTGCGTTAGCTGCCCAAGGTTACACACTTTTAACAAAGACATAATATGTGATCAACATCTAAAAAAATACTTGCTTTTGGCATCTAGAATGCTATACACAAATGGAAACTTAAAAAGTTTAAAGGAAGAGGACTAATCCTGATAAACCACAGGCCCTGACCCTGGCACAAGGGCCAATTTACCTACACTTGAACAAGCTGCTCCCACCACCAAAAGGATAAAAACTATAATACTCAGCAATCAGGAAAAGGGAAGAGGTAAATCAAGATAAATCACAAGAAGAGCCAAGAAATAGTCCAGAAAAAAAAAAAAGAGAACAAATAAATGAAACTTGCAAAACATAGTTCTAAAAGGGAACTCCAGGGCAAAAACACCAGGAGTCAAATTCCACAGTTAAGGGTTCATAAGCAAAGGAGCCAGAATAGAGAGAAAACCAACTGAAGTGCCAGAGGCATTTGTGCTCAAATAGTTAGGACAGGATTTATGAAAAGGATCTCAGAACTATGAGAACTGTGCTCTCATACTGGTACCAAGTTTCAAAAGGCAGATATAATAAACTCTTTCTCTGATGTCCCAAGGGGTGACCATGGAAATACCCACCTCATATATCTGGTTACAAATATATTTATTATTTTCAAAAGAAGGCCTATTCAATATCACAGTAGTCTAGCTTTGATCAAGATTGAGGGAAGAAAATCTGTGGTCAGAATAACTGACCTGAATTTCCTAAATAAGCTACTGACATTAGTGGTTACATTTGACTACACAGGCCAGGATCAACCCACACGGTACATCTGCCTCACTAGCACCAGTATATGGATATATATGAATAGTGGGAACTTGAAATAGTCAATACACACACATAAAAACTACCCACAATCACCACCCTTGAAATCATGTGCATCAGGTAGGTGCCACACTCTCCAGCAAAAATGTCCCCTCTACAGTCCAATAATCAAGATCCAATTAGAAAGACAGATATTAGAAACCACAGTGATGATGCCACTGTAGAGCGAGTAATATCTTCCCTGGGAGCCCATACACTTTGAGCAGCAATGGGGAAAAAAGACACATAGGGAAGACCTCAGACTGGATACTAGATAGTGTTTATAATTGTCCTGTTTTCTTCCTTTACGGGAAGGCGAAAGCCATCAGAAGAGACAGACATCCCATCTACTTCTAGGGATCAGCACTATCACCAACACCTGCATTAAAAGGTTGCTGAAAGAGCTGAGTGCCATTAAGATGGTTCTTTTTCATTCAGTGCCAGGAGGAGATTGTCAACTGCATTAACCAAGACTGTCTTGATGTCTGAGACAGTCTAAAAATTCCATTATGTCCAGATATGCCTGAAGCTGTACAGTCATTATTTTTCTAAAAAGATTCAAAACCACAGAAACTGCAGTCACAATCAGACACTACTAATCCACTGGCTACAAGCTACCACAATCCTTTATTACTAATAGGGAAAACAAAGACCCCCACCTCTAAAGCTGAAAGCCCAATGAAATTAAGCATGGGCCTACTAAAAAATTATGTCAAATATGCTTCATCTATGGCAGTGGTTTTCAAATTCCCTGAAGTCACAGAACCCTTTCACATTACTTGTTTTGCCATGAAACCCAAACTCCTATCCTAAAAACTCACATGGAGCCAGATAATCCAGCCACATGATGGCTGTGCGCTGCCACCCTGCCTGCTCTGCCATTACCCCCAATCTCTCTGTGGATCACCTGATGACCTATCACAGAACACACACTGAAAATCACTGATCTATGGCCAAAAAAAAAGAAAAAGAAGTGCACAGGTAGAAAAGCATGACTGGATGTTTTAACGGAGAGGTAATGCAGGCCACTACCCCAGAGACATGAGACTGGCTGTATTACAGATGGAACAGAGTATGGATTCATAACTACAAAGAACCAGCAGCATTTTGCTCTCAACCATTAAGGAAGCCCTAGAATGATGCCCTGAAAATGACAAGTCTCCCCATTTACCTGGTGCAGTAAAACCCAGATTTTTTGTAGAGAAATCATTCATAATCGAGTTATTTCACAACAGGTTGCCAAACAGAGAATAAACTTCAGAGCTGGGTGCTGCAGCCTTTATTTCAAAGGGCACTACTCCACTAAGCAGCTGGCATACAGTTGCAGTGCCATGCAACTAAATTGGAAAAGTGGCATCTTTTGAAATAAAAGGCACTACAAGCAGCTGGACATCCACAGAGGTCCCAGGCAGCTGCTTGCAGTACCTCTTTATACCCCTGGCTGATTCACAAAGCCCCATCTTCATAGGGGAGGTTAGAAATGGGAACCATCTACAGGGTTCTAACATACCACTATTTGCTCAGGAACCCTATTTCCTCTGCCTGAAACAGCAAAATAGCTTCACTGCAAAAACAGAGAGGTAGAACTCAGTGAAAGTTTCAAGTGAAACAACTTATTTGCTGAAAATGCATTGGGTGATCCAATTTGCAATTAGTTTCGGGGGAGGA